CGAGGGTGTGCTTTCAGGTATCGAGATGATTGGCTGAGCATGTCTTTTTACGAAAGTTTAATGACATGTTTTCCTCATAGTACATAAATATGGTGGCCGAAAGGAACAAAAACAAAAAACAAGACTCGAAAACATAACCCGCTAACCCCGCACAGAAACACACGTAGCCAAAACGGAAAATGATAACCCAACGTCAATCTGGACTGAGAAACAAAGATCCGAAACAGAAATACACTATCCCCAAAAGAAAACACAAACAAACCCAAAATAGAATCACCCACCAGGCCTGAGTGACGTAAATCCCAAAATATTAAACAGAAACTCACCCAAAAAACGAAAACAAAATGCAAAACAGAATCACAAACCCCAAAACAAAAACACGAAATGGAAAAAAAAAAGTTTGCTATATATGAATCAGGCATTGTTGAGACCCTGATTAGCTCCATGTATGGTAATCTGGAATACTTTCTTGAAATAACCACATTGACACAATTCTTTAAAAAATCAGTAGAACTGTTGGCTGTTATCGAAATTGCGACATGTTGTTCCCCTTAGCACACTTATTTCCATTTATCACTCTCTGATAGCACCCTATCTTCGATACGGTCTAATTGCATGGGGTCAAGCAAGCAAATCACAACTTATCAAACTTCTAGTCCTTCAGAAACGCGCTCTTCGCTTTATTCACCTTGCTAAACCGCGTGATTATGCCATTTCTCTCTTTATCAATACAAAAATATTACCAATTAACTTTCTCTATTATCAGCTACTAGCAGAAACAATGTCTGACTTGAGAAACAACTTAGTACCTACAAACATTCAGGAATTAATCCTTCCACTTTCCCGTATACATTCATACGGCACTAGGTCGTCTACATCTCAAAACTTTTATATAAAAAAAATCGAATCTTGAAATAAAAAAAAAGACTCTTTCTCGAGACTTGGTGCCAAATTATGGAATGAGATACCGACCAAGTTGCGCACACTTTCAGAACACAAATTCAAATTTAATATTCGTGCGTCATTGCTTGCTCTGTTTCAGCCCCAAAGTGTCAATTCAGCCCTGCAGGCCAAAGTCTGATTCAGCCCTTCTTGGAGCCATTTGAGCACAATTTAGGCCAAAAAAGCTCTATCAAAAGGCTATTCCAACCCACGGTAGGGCCCATTTCAGCCCTGGGACCAAATCAGCCCTAGCTAATTGGACTGTATTGGCCCTGATTTAAGGGAGCCAAATTAGACCCAAAAATAGGACTGTATTTTACTCACCGAAACGGCCCTGTTTTTAGGGCTAAAACAGATCTTTCTGATTTAGAGTGTGATATTCTGGAGACTGGCGATACTTATTTTGTAATCCTGCCTATAAAAGCAGGGAGCTAATGTTTTGTTTTCTTTTCCTCCTTAGAGTTTTAGATGCATCTTTTTCATATGTTTTTTTTCTTAAGATTATAATTTTTGTAATTAGTTAACCGCTCCATATTTATTTTAAAGCTGATGAATCTCTCTTGCTTTCTACTTCTTCTTTTTTTTACCTTAATTTTATTGCAGTTATTTTCTTTCTGTATCATTCTTGGCCTGCCTTGACTAGCTACAGCTATTTGCGGTGCCAGGACACTTGTAAAAATATTCTTTCGAAAATTTAAAATAAAGTCTTATTTATAATAATAAAGTCTGGATTGCGCAGTCCGTGCAATTCCAGAATCCTGGGCTTTAGAATTTTAATGACACAAAGTGGCTGAGATAAGCAAAACTTGTTTTAAAAGGAGAGAATAGGGTTCCTCAGGCTCCTTTGAATTTTTAAATGCAAAATGTGGCAATCTCTATTGATTTTTCAAGTAATAAACAAATGGAAGAAATAGACATTGTCAATTAAATTAAAACTGAAATATGTGTCCACAACACAACGCAAAAACACAGACGAGATTTTGCTTTAGGTCCCTCGCGTGGTCGTCGTGCCTCGTGGGAAATTGGCTTCAACTAATCAAAAGCACTACCAAGATCTGGGTAGAGTAATGCGTCATCAGTATGAAATTTCTGCGCTCGTTTCTCAGTCATCATTTCGCGGGGAAACCAGTGGTGGCGCCGGTGAATGTCGGCTGTTTTCTGGCGCTACCTAAATTCCTGCTTGATGACAGGCTATAGTTTGTCAGTACCGACAAGTTGATTTTTTTGGGTCCTTTATTTCTCGGCAATTGTCTTTGAAACGACGATTCCCTTTCAATAAAGAATTGATTGCGAGGGACTTTATGCTCAATCAAACTCCGAAAAACGGTAACATTTTTTCGGTGAAAGGGAATAAAGTTATCACCGCGTTAAAGTACTTGGTTTAAACATGTCTTCTAATGTGCTACAATTGATCGTCCAAATTTGTTGTAAGGGAATCCAAGTCAGTCTTGAATTCTGAATTCCAAGCCGTGGATTCTGGATGTTCGATACGGATTTCCGGACCTTGTCACTAGAACTTGAATTCCGGATTCCCTGAGTTGTTATGCTGATTCAAAAGCCTAGGATTGAGGATTCCACAAGGAAAAATTGTCCATATTCTGGAACCAATATTCGCTTAATTGGGGCAAAATTAATGGCTGTGATTGTCTTTATTACTGGGTACAGTCAGAATTCAGAGGGTCAGAACGGGTGTAACCAAGAAGGGCTTACAAAAGATTGACAGTATATTTCGCAATGAAAAGACAGTACGTTAATAACGTGAGGCAATGTCAATGGCGATGAAATCTTGTAATCTCCAAATATATTATAGTTACCGCTGGATGTTCTGATTAGAAAGAAAGTAATTGCTTTACCATTTACTGCACCTATTCTACTTACTTTATAATTCTGCAATTTCTACAGCTACGATTTAAGAAATAGAAAAACCAAAACATAATCCATAAACCATTATGATTTCGCCGTTCCTGCTTGCTAACATCGGGCAGTAGCGAGCTTACGTAACAGGATGGCAGAATGAAAGAGAACGGAAAACGTTCGGGCGTGACAAACGTGGCAGGGCTATAACGTACGTCTTTGTCGTGATCGGGTGTCAGAAATACGCGGGGTCGGGCCGGGGCCGTGGTCGGGATTTATCTTTTTTTAAATAATGCTGTCTTAGGGTGCGCAATAATGACGATCAGCGGACCACCGAGGAAGCAATGGTACGAATCGACAAGCCATGAGTGTGGTTTAATAACGAAGATTTCTTAATCACTAGACGGCTATGCTAACGGGGGGTGACAGCTCTAACAAGGGCTGTTTCGGGAGAAAAACAAATTTATTCCGGGAATCTGGAGATTTTGCCGGGAATCGAGAAACCTGGGAAATTTTTCGGGAAATATGAGATATTTTCGGGACATTGAGCAAAGATTTGATATTACATGTTATCAAACAATATATATATACAGGGATATGCACCCAGTGTATGCGCTGTATTCCATGTATTTTGACACTTGAAAACGGCTGAACTCCCCATGATATGAAAAGACCAATCAGCAACGTTTCCAACTAAAATAGCATGAAGGTCGAGTGTGATTGACCACGTGAAATCTCCAGCGGTTGACACAAGAACCGTACCGGTGCAAGGCACATACTATCAGTTCACACCAGACCCCATCATTCATTAGTTCAGGGGTATTTTTACGCTGCACGTTAACGAGTTTTAAGAGCACATTCCACTGATTCCATACTGGAAAACTTGAAAGAAGTACGTAAGAAGTATGTAAGAAAAAAACGAAACTCATTTAACCTTGTTAAACACAAATGAGGCCACAAAAAGTAGTATGTCTGTGAAGACTCTTTAATCATCCTGATCTCGTCGGGATCCTTCCGATTTTGCTCGAAAATCCCGAATCTCGATCAATATGCGTTCGGGATAGGAAAATTTCAGATTTCGATAGTTGTTCTGAAATTTTCAAATGAATTCTTATGATACCCATACAATGACACCACACAGAGTATACTTAGCTGAAAGTGATGTCCAGAGCAATTTGAAAAACCGCACAACTTGTATAAAATAAAATTGAATACTTCTACGCGAAGTCACGCCAATAAAAATAAGTATAAAAAGGACAATTGATTTAGAGAACATTGTGGACAGAATTTGTCCTCTCAGAACACTAGAAATGGCGTTTCAGAGCACCAAGATTTCAAAATTTTCTGGGGGAGCATGCCCCCAGACCCCTCTAGTGGTTGGCCCCTTCACTACCCGCCCGATTCATCGGTTATTAAAAAACAAAACAACACGATTTTATATACTTAAAAAGTTTGGCAGTCTTGCCGTGTTAACATGATACCCTCTAAACGAAAAAATAACTAAGGTTAGATAATTAACAAGTTAGATAATTAACAAGAAGCTGCAAAATATCTCTAATCAAAATTTTAATTTTAATTGTTAAAACAATTTTGGGAAGTTCAACATTTATGGGGAATGCCACCGAAAAATTCGGGAGGGTAGACGAAATTCCGGGAGGACATAAAGTTATTCATAGGACTGCCCAAGCAGGCTTTGTTACAGTTGTCACCCCCCGTTATGCTACACTTAGACACGCTCAACAAATCTAAACTAATACGCAAATAAGAAATCATTCATTATCGTGATGGTTTGACGTAACTTTGAATCTCTCAGTACTAGTGGCATTAATGTTTAAGTATGCAACAGCCATGAGAGACATTCAAGAGATTTAAACGTTTTACAAACATCTACAATTGTCATATCTTATAAATTGAACATCAGCAGACACAATCTCGGTCATAATCATAATCGCTGGAAGGCTACCTTACACGTGTACCCTCTCTGATGTGTTTCCTTAAAAGTTTCAAGTAATTATGACCGGGATTGAAAGTAAAGTAAAAAAGCATATTTTATTTTTTTGTTTACGACACTATTTTAAAACCTGATCACACCTTACAGATACATGCTAGACTCGAGATGCGATAAAAAAATTGCTGCAAGATGATATCAGAGTCAGTCACTTGACTCCAAAGGCTCATCCTGCGCAGCCCTGTTTGTTCCTGTTTCATTCAGTCTCAGACAAACCTGTCGGATGAATTTAGAAGATAGCATTTTAACAGAACGATCCAAAATTTAATATTGCTACGCTGCATCTTGGACAAAACACAAATCTCCCAACCTGGAAAGAAAATAAAGAGGAGGCAACCCTAGCTACAATGTGCACTGTGCCCCAAAATCCATCTACAATAACAAGAATATTTTTCAGAATTATTCCTCGAGTCGCGATTTAAAGCTATATCCCGTTATACACTCAAAAATGCTTCTAATGCTTTCCATGTCATATGTTTTCTTGTATGTTTTAGAGTCTGCACCTAAAGAAAGTTTTCTAATTTTATTTTTCGGTATAAATCAGCACTTAATAGATTGACTTAACTGATTGCTCGCAAATATTATGTTAGTAAATTCAATCTATTTGTGCCATTATGCGGCAATCAAATTACGTCGATAAACACACTTTACTAAGCCTGAAGAGCTACAAAAGCGGTCAACCGCGAACCTCAAATCCAAGTAATGACTTCCATTTTCTATTTTTTTTAATTTAATAAATCAATCAATAAACAATAAACAACGATTTAGAGGTAGCACATCCACGCTCCCGATCCAATTAGAATTTGGAAATGCTTGTTTTCGGGAGAGGGGAAAGCCGGAGTACATGTATCAAGGAAACACGTCTCTGAGCTAAGGAGAGAACCTCTCGGAATGGGTGCTCTCACCACTGCATCATCCCTCGATCCCCTCCCTTTCTATATATATGATCTTACCGATCAAATAACTCTTTTCCTTCTCCTCCTCGTCCTCCTCGTCCCCCTTTTTACATCTAAGAAAATCTTTTCCAACAACCTCTTCCTCGGGGAGTTCCAATCGATTTGTTTCCTTGTTATACACAACGCGGCAGCATTTGAAAAGGAATGGTCCTCGAGAGTTATTTCTTGTTGCTATATTTGAAGGACTATCAGTCATCCTGTAGGTTCCTTTCAACTTAGCAAAGAAGGTCGAAAAGTTGTTGAATCCTGCGTCCACTTCCACCTTTGAAGATAACACGATTAACTGAACAATTATTTTTTTCAATTGCCTTTACATTGCTTTAAAGTAGATCTTACGTTTCATTTGGTTGCTATAGATGCTATGGTCCTCGAGTGTTCAATCGTCTTGCATGGAGGATTTACTTCTGCGTCTCCTTCGATCTTCGAAACCAATGTTCAAATGAGTGGATAGAGTAGTATTTTGTCCACCGAATGGTAGCATTAATGTAAACTGAGGATTAATTTTCGGCTGAATTTGGAAAACATCTTTGACTAGGCAAGAGTCTATAGTAATGCAGCCTTCCCGACCTTAAACTTTTATTCGTTATGAAGAGACCACTGTAATTCACACTCCGCTATACTCAATTTACCAGTACAGTATGTGGTCCTTGGTCCGCGGGTAAAAGTCATTAACTTGAATATCTTACCCGAATCTTCACGTAACGAGCTGAAATACTCCCTGAAGATAGCTTTTATGTTCCTGTCGATAATCCTGAAGTTTTAAGTTCCAGACATAAATATGTTGCTTGGAATTCGCAAAAAGGCGACCGTTTTCGATGGTCCTTGGTCCGCGTCTCAGGTAAGCAGCACGATAAAAACGTAAAAATCTTATAGTTTCCACACGAGAATGTGATTTTCACAGTATTTCTTGTATTTTTTTCTTTTCTTGATGCAATTAAGCTAAAGTTTTTTTCGCAAGATGTTGTGAGCATAAAATAATCTGCTTTTCTTTCAAAGACTTCAGACAACAGTCTTCTCGAGTCTCCCACACGAGCGTCGACGAGCGGTTTTTAGCGCGGTCGAAAATAATTACCAAAAACTCTGTATGTACTCGAGATATTAAGAAAGAGAACTTGTAGACATGTATGGGGACGACTTTCAAAACATTCTTCGAAAACAAAGGCCGTCGCTTTTTACTTTGGGAAGTTTTATTCAACCAAGGTCATAGGCCGCGGACCAAGGACCGCTAAGCGAAATTTGGTGATATTTTTCAAGAGTCGCTAAAACAAAAAATTCATAGTCTACAGCAATATGCTTCCAACAGCAGAAATGAGTTGATCTGAAAACCTGTTCTGCAAAAAGGCAAGTCTTCCCGTTGCGTTTTAGTTATTCGCAGGCTAAGTAAACATGACCATGTAATTTACGTTACCGCAAAAATCCAAACTTCAAGAAAGACAAATTAACCTACCTGTCAACAAACTTTAATTTCGCGTCTTCACCCGCAGCAAGAAAGCTGAAACTTCGTCATATGAAAGAATGCTAATCACCAAGTGTAAGAAGTTGCATCTTTGGACTTCTGGCGAAATAGGTTCCTATCTCTATTTTTAAGTGTGATTTGCAATTCAGCCTAAGAAGATTAATTCTTAAATTCGGTTTGTATTTTCTGTGAAGGAAATGTAAGACTGCTATAAAATTTCCAATCTCAAAGTCAAACTTCGTGGTTAAAATGTTTGTCATAATTTAACTGTATGTTACAAAAAAGAACTTGCTTGATCTTGCTTTGCTAAACAGGTACAGCTCTAATGTTAGTATTTTGGTTGTTAAAACAGGAGATTTCTGACAGCTTAAACCACCAGGTTCTTACTAGTAATATTAATATTATGCGTATATAAAATATCACCGAAACCGTACACACGTGAATCAAAGAGTAAAAACTGAAAAAAAAGCAGGCAACTTAATACATATTAACCTTTTTGTGGCAAGACTCTGGATTCAAGAATCAGGGAACATATTATATTCAACTTACCGCCATAATACTTCAAGCTTGTGTGTGTGTGTTCAGTCGTCTAAAAATAAGATAGGAAAGAAACTGATCAGGAATGAAACTGAAAACCATATGCTTCAAAAATTGTTTAGGTTTGTCTTCCTCAGTTATCCTGAATTTTCAATAGCTTGGAGAAACGGCTCTAAGATTTGATGTTGACATTTGAAAAAGACGTGATTTCAGTCCTTTCGTTGCTTTATCTTAATGGTCAAGCTCGAGATCCGTTCGAGAGGATCTGGACGTTCATTTGTGTTTTTTATTTTCTTTCTTTTTTTTTATTGAGGTGAGGGAGGGTTAGGGGGGCTATATATCTCATAATTTCCAAATCAACAGTCTTCAAACACAAGTGAGGGTTTGATTGTAAGAAAGGAAAAGAGGGCAAGATAAATCGTTGATTAATATGCGAAGCGGTTTAGTATTAGTATGCAAGGGGAAATAAATCAAATTTCTTTCCTGGTGCATATTTATGTATCGCGTATTGCATTTCAATGTGTAAACCCTGGCATTTTAGTTTGTTGTTTACGTTCTTAAACAACACACGACGCCTTCGTTGTTGGTGTTCTTTAAAACATGTCGCCGTAACTCAGAAAAAAGGAAGGTTTTAAGACATTAAAAAAATGTTCGCTCTCAATTCAGTTCTCAAGGCCTTTCTCAAGGCCGGAAGCAGTTAACATTTATTCCAGACCTGAGTGTTGCTGCTATTTCTTGCCATAATTGGGCTCTTCCATCTAATCACCCTAAACTCGTACACTCAAGACGGATTTAGTACTTTGCATTTTTACAGTGTTTGTTACTAACTCCCTCTTTTTAAACTCCTTGTCTTTAACAGTAGCGATACTTCGCCCAGTATTTTCCTCAGCAAGTTTGCCTGACCAAACGATCCTTAGTATAAAAATTGAAGTTTCTGCTTTTGCCCCTTTGTATGCTCTTAAAAGAACGTTTCCAAATTGGGTAAGGTTACCGTGCAGAAGCATTCTCTTTTACTTCCTCACTGCACTTGTTTTTTGTTGATTTAGCACTCATGTCAGTCTCTAACACCTAAATATCGACCTCCGCTAATTTCGTATGCCTTGAATTTTTGAAGTTTTTCTTTTACTTATATTAAGAAAAGGAGTTTTGAGGGAGGTTTTCAGTCACCTTACCTTGCAAGAGAAATGAATTTTTATAATGTAATCTGTTCAGTCTCCCTGCAGCTTAAGTAGCGGAATCCCTTCGAGCTATTTCTCATGACAACAGTCAGCCTCGTTTCAGACCCTTTTATTTACTTCCCTGAGTCTCATTAAATATTTGTTTATGATCTCACCCGCTGGAAGCTCATTGGCTGAATAAAGTGTGATAATTGCGGATAACCCGAGAATTTGTATGGCTAATGACTTTTATTCCTACCGGCCTTTTTAAATCATGATGTGTTTCACAACCCTTTCTGTATCATGATGATGACAATGATGATGATAATGGAAGGATATGGTTGTTTTCTCTTTGTCAGTTCAAGTTTTAAAATTGAAAAGGACAAAATAAGGCTCGGCCCAGTAGTTTTTTTTTACCACTCAATGCAATGTTTATATTCAGTAGATGAAAAAATGTTCAAGTTAAGTAACTTACGCAGAAAAACAAAACGTACTCTTTATAGAGTTAAACTCGAAAACAGCATAAATATATAGATATGATTGATTAAACTACGTATTCGTTGGCACCAATCACACTAGATATATCCATTATAAAAAAGGAGTCATGCTACACAAACCGAAATAGCCAGCAAACCACTTGATCGGTTTCGTAGCCTATATTTACATTTTCTCCTTTAAACATACAGCTTCATCGAATGTGAAATGTTATTAGCAACACTAAAAGCTTTTTTAGATATCCTAAGCTCATAGACCATATGGAAAGGTTGCCATTCGTTTAATTTTTTTTTTTTTTTTTTGGGGGGGGGGGGTT